AAGGAATAAACTTGAATAGTGCCCCATAATAATGAAAATCTCCAATATGGTTTGCTTTGTCAATCCAGGTAGGAAAGTTGGCTGGCAGTTTTATAAGTTTAAATTAAGGTAGGTTCGCACATTTTCCCCCGACAAAGGGTTTAACAAGACACTTGGTCAACTGTGTGGTTTCCTTAATCCCCCATTGTATGCAGAAAATATGGAAGGACATATTTTGTTTAAGAAGTCCGGTGATTTCTGAGGAAAGAGATTGAAACTACAACTCTTTCTCCCTGCATTTCAAAGTCGAGAGTGACAGTAACAAGGATACATGAGAGGACAAGAGCCCAAGGGAAACCCAGGTTATTTGGTGACCCGAGTTCAACATTTCTGCTCAAGAGGGACAAAGGAGAGATAGTTTGTCACGTGATTTTAAAGACAAGGTTTATGATGTAGAATTGGTAGGTTCTTCACATGCTTTTCTATTACCAATTTATCAGTGTCTTGAAAGTTTGAACAAATTTTCAACTGGATTATTAAGGTAAATTCTTGTAACTTAATATATTTAATAGCACATAGTCCAATTTCATAGATTTTTTGAAATTCAACATCTGTAGTTTATGCATAATTCACTTTTGGTTTCTACATATCATGATTATTAGAGATAATACCTTTCTACATTTTTATTACATCTATTTGCTGTTTTCCTATTTTGGCCGATTATGTTTAGAAGAATTAGTCTATTTTATCACAAAGAAATAGTTCTTTAATTTATCTAGTGTCTTTCCTTTCTAACTCATTTATTTCTGCATTTATATTTTCTTATATTTCCTACTTTCCTTAGAGCATTTTTTTTCTTTTTGTCATATTTTTAGTTGAAAGCTTGAATTAATTTATTTTATCTTTGCTTTCTTATGAAGATAAAAGCAAAGACAAAAATTGAACCTCTGGGTAGAGTTGAGGCCATTTCTCATGGGTTTTCTTATGAAATGCTTTTTCCTACACAAATGTGGTTTATACTCTTGATTTCTTCTTCAACGTGTTTTAAATTAATTGAACAGCATTAAAAATGTATTATTAATTTCTAGTGTTATTGCATTATTATGAAAGAATGTGCATTTTAAACATCCTTATTTTGTGTAATTAGTGGCATTTTCACTGAATCCTAATTTATAATCTATTTTTTCTTAATTTGTGCATGTGGCAGGAACTTTTTCATGTATTAATATTGTCCTATATCTCTGGGGAGTTTGTGTAGCAGGGCAGAAATCAGAAATAACTCTTAGCCTGTCTTCCTTTCCTGGGTCTGGTTTGCACAAGAAACATGGAAAGAAGTGTGATGTCACCATGAAGCAAAAGTGCCAGAAAACCACCTCCACTTCTGTCAGCACCTGATTGAGGAGGTATTACCTCAAGAAGGATGGCTTCCTGGTATACCCAGAGAAATTGAGCCGGACTCAGCATAAGGGCTTTCAGTATAGATTCCCAAGTCCACATTTGACCCAGAGAAAAACAGACACAGCTTTAATACAGGTTATTTCCTCTTTTCCTTTCCAGTTCTTCACCTCCTCTGTGTTAGATGACACCCATGGTATACCATCACTTGGAATCTCTCATTCTCTAGCATCTAGTTGGGTTCAGCCAGATCCATCTTTAGGAAAAAAAAAATCCTGGTCATGAATATGCTCTTGGATTTAAATGTGTGTTTATACTTTACCATAGTAATTAGGGGAGCTCTGGTAGCATAGTGGCTAAGGCACTTGACTGCTAACCAGAAGGCTGGCGGTTCAAACCCACCCGCCACTCCTCGGAAGGAAGGTTGGGCAATCCTACTTCCGTAGTGATACTGCCTTGGAAACCCAAGGAGGGGTCGCTATGAATCGGGGCCGACTCTACGGCAAACAACAACAACAACAACAACATAGTAATTAGAGGCTAATAAAGCTGCATCTTGGAATATATTCCATTTTGTTTTTACTTTCTTTCTCTACAAAATAATAGATATGCGTAACAAGGTAATAAATTTGATTTTGAATATATTTTATGCATTTTTCACTTGGGTTAGCTTAAGTAAAGATTATTTCATTATGGGCTTTGGTTTCCACTTGAGAATGTTTTACTTGGTTTTTTGTTCTTTAATATATGCACTGCCTTTGAGTCAGATCCAAGTCATAGCGACCTGTCCTTGGGTTTCTGAGTCAGTATCTCTACGGAAGTAGATTGCCCAACTTTCCTTCCAAGGAGTGGAGTGGCTGGTGGGTTTGAACCACCAGTCTTCTGGTTAGCACTCAAATGCCTTAGGCACTATGCCACCAGAGGTCCATTTTAAGCAGTTGTTCTTCTATGGTTTCTCTGTTTCATTGCTAGGATTTTTTTTTCTGGACCTGTGTTGAAATTGGCTCAAATGAGAGTATTGTTGGAATTTGCTGTTGTTAATTCCCTTCTCAAATTGAAACCCTTATTTGGAGGCCTTCCCCTGAAAATACATTGGAAGGTTCTCTATGTTCTTTTAGAAATATGGCCTTCCCAGAAAAGATCCATAGATTGCATTTTTTGTATATTCACATATGTAGAAATTGAAACAATGATTCAAAATACATATGGATATGAACTTGGGCAATAATAACCAAGGAAATCTTGAAGAAAAAGAACAAAGTGAGAAAATGTAGTCTACCATAAACCAAGATGTAGTGTAAAATGACAATAATCAAGGTGGTATAATATTTGTGCAAGTATGGACAAGTAAAAATATTGGAAGTGAATTGAAGTTCAAAAATAGATCCATATATGTAAGATTACATTTTTGTGACAAATGTAGGGCTACTGAACAATGGGGAAGCAGCATTCTTTTTAATTAATGGTGTTTTGTCCTTTAGATTCCAAACTGGGGGGGGAAGGACATCGAATCTTAGCTTATGCCTCACACCATACATAACAATCAATTTCAGGTGTAATATAGATCCAAATTCAAATATTAAAACAATAAAACTAACATATAAAACCAAAACATATTATTTTCATGGCTTTAGGAAGGCAAACATTTCTTAAACAGAAACAAAAATATAAAGTTAAACTACAACAAAATGAAGAGCTTATTTGTATAAAAAGTCACCAATGAATAAACAAAAAGGGTAATTCACAAAGAAGATATTTATAACACATATAATAAACAAAGGGCTCATATCTAGCACATATAAACAACTCATAATTTAGATGAAGGTCAAATCATCAATATATCTCTTTTTGAATAATGCTTTTTATTATCTACATAAGAAATATATGCCTATACCAAAGTCACAGAAATTTTCTTCTATGGTTTCTCTGTTTCATTGCTAGGATTTTTTTCTGGACTTGTGTTGAAAATGGTGAAATTACCAGCCGAAGCATGTAATTAAAAATCTCACAAATTCATAATTTTAAACCACTATTTGAAACAACAAAGCTCTTAGCAAACAAAATATAAGCCTACATGAATCCACTATTTCTGTAGGAGATCCAAAAGCCTGTGTGTTTTTTTTTTGAAGTGACATTTTCTAGGAGGGGAGAGTCCAATTTCATCAAATTAATCCAATCTAATTATTTCCTGAACTTTATGCTGTTTTCTTTGCTTTTATCTTTTAAAATGGAATATAGTGGACGGTAATTAAAAAGCCATTTTCTTTGTGTAAGTACTCAATATCTTTAAAAAGTGTTCATAATTGTAAATGACCTTAATCATTCAAAAGAGTCTATCAGATGTATAATGAGACTACTGATCTATAGACTGTCTTAATCTGGCTAAAAAAATGTAAAACATATATATATATATATATATATATATATAGTTGATCCATGCAGAAAATATAACATTTCTATTTAATAATGTTCATAGGTTAAATGTAATGATGACACTAAGTTAATAAACTCAGCCACTTACTGAAAAATCTCCACTTCCATATCATGAGTGATGCCCTCTCCCTGGCAGATGACTAAGCACTATCTGGGGAAGTATACATTATTACTAACCTATCATATCTTATGGTTATTTTAAAATCAATTTATTTGAATATATCCTTGAAAGAGAGATGTAATGTAATTAGGGAGATACTAAAAATGTCTGGTAAATCTATTGGTCGATTAGAATGGCTGGAGGAAGTTAATAAGGAAAGAGGACTGATTGTAATGCCAGATAGAGGTGAGGAGCATCAAAGTCACTCTGAGATGATTACAATGTCTGTACCTTGCTAGTTTGTTCAGGATGATAGTTTACTCCTTCCAATACCACACATTTATTTTCATCTACTTAAACAAAAACAAAATATATAAATAAATAGAAAACAAATTAGCAGTTCTTACCTTGAATTAAAATATTGATTTTTTTTGTGTGTGTAATCTGCATGTTTGGCTATGGTGTTTAAGATATGTTGGCTTAAGTCAAATAGTTTATTATCATCATGTTTGAACACTTATTACATAAAAGCAATATTCAGTACAGTGGAAACAGTTAATGTGCTCAGCTGCTAACAAAAAGACTGGAGGTTGGAGTCCACCCAGAGGCACCTCAGAATAAGAACCTGGCAATTTACTTCCAAAAACTCAGCCATGGAAAACCCTGTGGAATACCGTTCTACAATGGCACACACGGTGCTGCCATATGTCAGAACTGACTCAATGGCAACTGTTTTGTTTGTTCGTTTAAAATCCTTTTGTTGCACATGAACTGCTATAAGGAACTGAGTTCATTGCAAGATTTAGTTTGTTCACTAAATATGACTTCTTCAAATAAAATCTGAAAACAACACAGAGTAGCCTATCAGGTCTGGTCACTTACCCACTGTGGCTGCGCATACTCGCTTCCTAAATCACATGAGCCCCAGACAGACACATATGAAGTAGAACACGTGCTCTTAAAACTTACTGATTTGATTCCCACAACAATTTAAGCTGTTTTCTCTGAATTGGGGACCAGAACCCTCCCTCAAACATTCAGCATGCTGCCTGCTGGTGTAGAGATGAAGCTCAGGTCACCACTTACGTTATTTTTCTGCAAAACCTGCAGTGCCTTGTTGACATTGTTCAGGGCATGAACTCTTGTGGATCCTTTTTCTTTTGGCTAAAAACAAAATGAAAAAGTATTTACTGCACAGCAGAGAGACAAATAGTCTACTTTTAGAAATGAAACTATAAATTTCTCTTCTCAGTTTAAATATTTTAAAAGATCACAGTCTGTGAAGCATTCATGTAATGAAGGGAAGGGCTTTGGGCCAATGGTATTTGTCATAGAACTTACTTAGCAAGAACAAACTATTCCTCAAGAAGGACAATAGCTGCTTTGGCCCTCTTGTGCTGAAGCTGGGTGGAGTCAGTTCAGCCTGCATTCCCAGTTGAAGGCAGGTAAGTAAAAGTGATAACTCAGT